AACTGCAAGTATAATTGCGAAAGTCATGTGACGTCGACATCACATGACAAGTCTAAATAAAAAATCTAAATGTCCCCAACATGTAGATTTAAACCACAATACATTTCTTGGATATCAGTGAATTCCTAAAAAGAATCGCCTATCCTAATAAAGTATGTATTTTTTATCTTAAAAAATCGCCGATATTTCCATTTGTAACCTTAACTGTGCTGCGTAATCAAACACTCTTATATATTTGCGACGGGTCTTATGAAAATTTGTATAAAAAGCATTTGTATAAAAAGTGTAATGATTTGTTCTGACTATATTTCAGAACGTTTTATTATCAATCTAAACGATCACATTGAGTTTATCAATTTGGATTCATAAAACTTATAAACCAACAAAAGTTTTATCATTTGCGTACAATAATTTAGATTTGGCATTGAACTCATGTGAAAAGCAATTGTAATGAAAACAGTGTAAGATTAACGAATGAAATAGTTTATATATGGATGTAACGAACAATACTTATGCTCAAAGTCCATCGAACAAGGCAAATGTAGTGCGGAGCAATCACAGACACCCTATCCAAATATACTGACACGCAAAAGAAATGCAACAAGCAGTGATCTACAGTGTTTCAATTTTTTATCTAATGATTTTCGAATAAGAATACAGTAAGGCTAAACTCACTTTTCAGAACATCAGAAATTTGATAAAAATTTTATATGTTTATCTTTTAAGGGGCAATATCCCTCTGCTCCAAATTTCAATTTTTTTTTTTTTTTTTAAATCTTTAGCGACAACTATAGCATTAAATTCAAATGGAAAATAGTTTGAAGTATGAAGCGTTGCTTACTTTTTCAGAAATGAATAATATATCAAATCATGATGTGAAGAAAATTTGATATGGTAAACAGAAAGATTAATTATTTTTTATCTCACAATTAAATTAGAAATATGAGGTATATATAATAATAATATTTACTATCACACCTATCTAATTCCCATTAGAAAACATACTGAAGCGCTGCTTTTTAAATCAGAATAACAAATTGTTTTCTGTGCGTGTAAAATAACACGCATCCATAAACAAGAGTTATCGTTCCATTATCGCCCTTGAAAATATTTTTTAATGAAACAAAATCCTAATTAAATTTTTATAAACAATCCTGCATCTGAAATTTCTGTACAATTAAAAGAATCATACTTTAAGAGATAGAGATTTCTCAATTTACACTGTTTAAAGGAACTGAGTATAATTGTTTTAAGTAAACTATTATAAATTATTAATAATTATACTAGCAACAGAAACTAGAAATCAACATTTGTACAATAGAATAGGTTTAATTGAGTTGACTATAAAATGGTCCTTCTGATTGAAATTCGTAAACTCGGACATGACAAATCACTTAATTTCATGACAAAATGTCTTAAAAAAGTTATCTTTCTTGTCAGAAAAGTTATCTCTCTTATCAGAGGGTTATTCCACCTTAACTTTACTAGGTAACATATGACTGTTAAAACACCCCCTCCAAGCCATTAAATTACATCGTGCAAGACTGCCCTAAACAAAAATTGCAGCTTAATTTCTACGATACAATAGATTAATCAATATCGAGATCTGAGCGAAGGAATTATTATTTGCCATTTTTAAATGCCTGTTTTTCAGATGATTAGGTTGAATTTTCTCTAACTTAGTGCATTGTAGTAACCCTTGGACTCCCGGTCCAATGACTATCATTTATGCATATGATACATAAGACCCCGTTGAAGCAAAATGTAGTTTATTTTTGCATCGATCAGCAACCCTCCATCGTCTTTAGTTTGAGATTTTCCAGATAGAGCAATGGAAATGTGTACTTAAGCCATTTTCAAGAAGCCTTAGCATCGTTACGGGAAACGAGCGGAGATTTTATATATTGCTGCATTACTTACGATGAACAGTACAAACCCTTTAAACTCCATAATATTACCAAATGGTTTGTTAAACATGCATTTTTTAAATTTCTGTTAAGCAGACTCAAACTTGACTTCCCGTTATGATATGAAATTCGTTTAACCGTTAAATAATCGATATTTACCAAATTGAAGGTATCCATAATTTTAAGATACAAAATTCTTCACTTTACATAATCATTTCCCCAAAAGTAGGGTGTTGCCTTTCTTTTGCGTTCCAGTATATTAAACGTTGGATCCAGCGTCTTTGAGAGGTGAGCATCCCCTGCCAATCGTCATACCAGCAGTTTGCTCCTTTTGACGGTCTGGAAATAACGACAGAAAACCATCGACAAAGCAGTGTGTAAATAAAGGCCTTACAACAACCATTGAAATATTATTAAGCATTTGAACGTAGAACGTTGGAAAATATGGCTTTAAGGATGTATTCTTCTAATCATTTTACCCCAAGTGGGACTTCGTACTTAAACATGTCGTAAAATTCAAACTGATAATTTATAATCAAGTCTTTGAAGTTTTTATGATTTACATGTTTAACTATATTTTTTTTAAATAAAAAAATCTTTCTATGATGTACTAATGACCAAGATGTGTTCCAAATTAAAATATTTACGACATAGGCCTAAGAAAGTCGACAAGTGAAATAGTCTCGTTTAACCAGACGCTCGGCTGTCTCCGTAAACTCCGACTAGCAGAGCCTCTGGCTGGTCGGAGATTTACTGAGACAGCCGAGGGTCTGGTTCAACGAGAGTACAAGTGAAATCTACATGATCGACATGATCGAGAGGGGAGGAAGACGGGATCGCCCGTTTCAAATCGACAGGAATGCAAAATGGCACTCCGTTAAAGAGCCAACCGACAGAAATTTTAAAACATTTAAAAAAAATTGCCGATATCTCAATTAGACCTACAGGTACATTCTCGAAAGCGGTCCCCAAACATGCCACTAAAGAGCACCGTTCTCGAAGTGTGTTGACGACGTTCCAGTAGCGAGGAAAAGCGAAAATGTAGGCTTACAATGATTTCAAACGTATCGAAAATAGCAATGTTTATGCATATTTATAGATACAAAAGTTTCGAAATACATAATATAGTGACACATTGCAAACTGAAACATAGCATAAACATGTTATATACATGTACGGAACGTTAGGCCTAAGGGGTCTTCAGATTCGTGCAGACGACAGCATTCGTATTATCTTTTTTATTGCAACTTTAGCTCGTAGTATACGATAAATTTCCTTTGATATTGTAAATGCAGAATATCTATCCCTATATATACATGTATATCTGTCACAATAATCACAAATGCCTAACTTTAGAAGAGAGCAGGGTTTTAGAACCAATAAAATCAAATGAAAAAACCATGCAAATCAGATTGAGAAAGTGGGACTGGATTTGACTAATCCCAGGGAAGCCACCATCCAGCACCACAAAACAGGACCCAATCGGAACCCACAGGGCAAAAGAAAGAGAGGACATCTAACAAACTATTATGAAGTTTTATATGTTAATTGATTACTTTTTGTTCATAAAAAAGCTTTTCTTAACAAGATTGTAATAATTACCTGAAGTTTTCACACTAATTTTGAATATTTGGTGAATAAAAACACATATTTTTCATGCCTAAATGCCTTGATTTATTTTCATTTAATGCTGAAAAGATATAGGGGATGGTGATATAAAAAATATCAAAACTTTCTAATATGTGCACAAACCCCTACTTTTCATGATATGAAAAGGAGCCATGTTAATACCTAAGGAAACTGTACAACAATTTTCTTAAAAGGTTTAATTGTAAAAATATGTTTTTCTTTGGTTTTTCGAGCAATTTTATAGTGAAAATTTGCCTAATTTTGACACTGGGGAACAACATTTTTGGGCACAATTTATTTTATTGGTATTTATTTGCTCATATTTTGCTTAAAAATCAGATTTGCAATACTTTTAAGTAAATCTAAGCAACATAAAATTTAAATTGATTGTATTTATAAGTTTATGGGTAATTTTATAGTCTAAGAGCATTTTAAAGGAAATTACCAATGCTCTATTTTGACCTATGTTCGAAGGGTTGCATCTCTCTTAGATGAACACTAACATACACTTTTCTTGTTTTTCAATTATAAATGGTATATTACACTTTTAGAAAAAATATAAGCATGTGAAAAGTTAAATGCACGTTTTTTTTTTCGGGTAAGAAAATATCCTTAAATGATGAGACTACTGCTCTTGCTCTTTCGTGTAAAGGAAAGAAATAGACCAAATTTAAATAAAAATATCATTTTACAAGCACAGGTGATTTGGTTAGAAAACATTCAACAATAATCAAATCTCTATTAAAGAAATAAAAGATCTGCTTCATTAAATTATAAATAAAATGAATAATTTTAGGGAGAAGACGTATAATAAGTTTTCAAAGTTTGTGCCCAATATACAATGAAATATGTCCGAAGCAAAATGTAGAACTCTTTTTTGAACAATTATTTCTACTTCTTTAACTATGAAAAATAATAATTATTTAGTCGAGAAAATCAAGAGTGAAATATGAAAAACAGAGCCAACTCTCCAGTATTGTCAGTCATTGATCATTTATGTGTGCAGAGTTTTACAAAACACATCTACTATTTATGAGGTCTGATTAAAAAAATAAGTAGTTAACGTTTTACTTCATGTTTTCAATTTGTTAAACTCTGCATACATCATTGAGCACGGGCAGTATCTACTGATGATGGTTTTGGTTTCTTGCGTTTCTTCTAGGAATTTACCATACCAATTAAAGTTTGATAGCGACATCTGATGCTTAATCTTGTTATTCTAAAGGGTCTCAGATTTACACACTCCAAACTTGTTTACATAAATTCCAAGCGTTTAATTCATAATCTTAAATTTTTCTTAGAATTAAACTCTTAACACTGCATTGCTAATACTTGAACACCTAAATTGAATAGTGTTCTTGTTTATAAGAACAACAATTTTTGAGAACTATAAAATAAATTTTTTTTGAAATTTGCAAATGATTTCAATATCACGAGGCATTTCATGAATCTTGACTTGTAATAGATATGTCTTAACACAAATTTGATCACAAAATTTTATGCATCCTTCAAAACATTGCAAATTATGTTTTTTTTTTCAATAAAAATACGACGCAGATCATTTGAACTTTTCGATTTATTTTCAGAAATTGGGAATTGAAAAGCAGGTGTCGTTACACACAGCATTGGCGAGATAAGCCTCCGCCACAATAACCTCTCAGATATCGGCCACTACAGCGATTCGAATTGTTTTGGCAAATTCCACCTCTGTTCCAGCATTGTATATCCTTTCCTGTGAACAATAAATCAAATAATTTTAGTCTCATTTAAAGCATTTTAAAGAATAATTCTTGAGAAAAATGCAAAGAATAAATTATTTTAAAATGAGTGTACCATGATTATTTGTCAAAAACATTATTATCTTTTTCCAATGGAACTTTAAATAAATATTTCTGAAATTGTGCTGCACTGGTTATTTTCGTTTTCTCACAGGGTATTTTTTTTTTAATATATTGGTGAAGTTTACCAAGAACGCAACATTGTCTGTTGGTTGGTCCAGCACAATATCCCGCTTTATATATAAAACAAGGTTCGGATGTGTACTGACATCTTCCATTCATAGACCAGCATGGAGAGTCGTCCCCTAAAATAAGAAATGGTAATATTGGATAAATGTAGAGTGGCAATTTTTAACGTATGAAATTAAAAGCACTTAAATTTTCAGCACATGCCAAAAAAATCTACAGGTTGTCTGTTTACAACCTCCATATACTGTACCTTGTAATAAATTTAGCTCTATTGGCAAGATAGGTTTATTCAAGAAAAAAAATTAAATATTTCAAGATTCATGAGAACATTAACAAGGACTGTACACGTCGGTATATTTAAAAAAAATTTGGAAATGTAAATATTGAAAACAACTATATACATTTCCAAATTATTCTTCCTTTAGAATCTTTGTAAAGTATGAGACTGATCACTTTTACATGAACTACCACGGAAAAACATTGATATCTTTAATTGTTCGTCATATTACTCTACCTGGTGTCAAAACTATGATACAGATTTATTCCTTTGCTTAGATAATGACATTTTGAATGAGGTACTTTGTGGCAAATCATCTGCAAAATTATGTCTAAATAAGAAATTAATTAATTGTTAAAATTCAGGAGTTATATGATGAGCTAAACGCTTCACATTGGCATATTTATAATGCCATGCTCATTCGCTCTCATGAAAAATATCGCCATGAATCGTCACAGTTCATGTCCCCACGAACCTTCAAAAATCAAATTCATAGCTTAAATGTGCAGTGACAATCATAAACTTACATTAATATACATAAATCTTTGGAAACCTTAATAAATTCAAATTGGTGAATATTAACCATTACTATGCTATTTCTATTTAATTAAAACAGATTTTCAAAGAAACTTTAATATTATACAATTATCTGTTTCTTTTAAAATCAAAATCTTTCTGCATCTGACAGACAGTAGAAAAATTAAGAATTAATGTAGCTTACCTCTGATAAAAGAGAGAGGAGTAATCAAAAGAAAAACCACGAGAACAATGGGTAACTGATTCATGGTCGCTGCTGAAATGGAATAAAAGTGATAAAAGAGAAATCGTACCGAGCATATATAGCCATGTTACCACTTGAAATATGCACGATCTGCTATTTTGATTAGCATGAGGATAATTCAACTGATCACAGTTGGTCATCTTTTAAAAAATCTGCTCCATGCATTTTCCTGTATCTAGATAACGTCAAATGAATTTATCATTTGGAGTTCGGGATACATGACTTGGTCTAGCCTTGATTGTGAACTATTTTTGATATCAAATATTTCAAAAAACAAAACACTAGACAGTTAATATTATGAAATTAAGATTTGTATAGCTGCAGAACCGTAGCTCTCTGCCTGAGAAAATTCGGACAGATAAAGCAGAGAGCTACATACATAAAGATACAGATACGTTTCAAAAACCTTCGAATTACGCCGACGAATTTTTGTCGCGACTTTAGGTATTTATTTCGTGTAGTCTAAGCTTTCTCTGGCTTTTAGAATGGTATCCCATAATAAGTCATATATCTAACTCAACAACCCCATGGCCATGCACATATTTGTCCAAAGTTTTCGGTCATTGACATTGATACATGTAACTATACGTTTCTAGTTGAAACGCTTCCTTTCATTTCTCGAAAAATGTCCTTGCTATAATGTGTACATGTAGTAATAAAAAAAAAAGCTTTAAGCTGTCTCCTACATCGCAAAGTCTTTGGACTGCCTCCTCCTGTCTTCATTAAGCAAATGAACACATTTCTCACTACATAGTAACGAAGATCTAGCGAGTTAAAAATACAAAACTGGTAGATTTTCTATGAACTAATAAGATACTAATTACTACATCAGGTATGCAATATAAATTACATGTATCTGGACAATGCAACTACAGTATCGGAGCAACTGAATAAAAAATTTTCATTAGTAAAATTAAAACTCTACGTATACAAAGTTTGTTTATTTAGGACAAACTGTAATTTTGATAGGATTATATTGTAAAGTTATATAATGCGAAAATTAATAGAAGGGTGGAGGGCTGGCATCCACGTCTCCCCCAGTTCCTACAGACCTGCCTGGTGTCATATCATTAATTTGGACATCTTGAACTGAGAAGCCGATCAGTAGCGATCAAGTGAGCAAAGTGTCAAAGTAGCCACCCCCTCCCCGATTTTTTGAGTCATAAAACTGTATGCTATAAAGCAAACAAATATGAACTTCTCAACACCCCCCTCCCTTGGGAAACACGAACCTCTCGTAATGTGGTCGAAGGGAATTGCAAAAACCCATGCACATGGATAGGAAAAAAATATCACACCTGCCTATGGGAGTTTATTAATAGCCCCCCCCCCTTCTTTCATCGCCCCCTAAGAAAAATCTCTGGTTCAAGTTTGACACTTCAATCACATGCCCTAGCCCACAAGAAAAAACAAATCTAGCTAATTTGATAGACTCTTATTTTTTCACTTTGTTACATCCATATAGTAATACGATTTAAATCATGGACTTATTTCTTGCAGGATATTTGCAGGATATTTGTTGATGTGTGTGTGTGGGGGGGGGGGGGGGGGTACAAACACATACATGTAGATAGTTTTATACAGGTTATTGATGGATATAACAAAGACAAAACATTCTCAGTGTAAAATTAAAAAATGTCTATTTTTAAATCGAGATCGGAATCGGAATTATCTTCTAGACCTCGCTGAACATTTAAAACTTTTTTTCACACTTCATGAAAATTGCAAAGGAAATTTGATATGTCAATGAGTTCATGCTTAAATAGAGTTATAGTGTACCATGTCTCTAACATTGGACCTGCATAAAATACGAGGGTTGATTCAAAAAAAATTTATAACTTCATTCATTTATAAGTGAAATTGGTTGAAAATAACAAATGAGAATATAGACAGTTGTTGAATATTTTGAATAAAAAGTGTTTAAAATATTTGTGATAGTAACTCTATGGCAGTTGCCATACAAACGGATGTTTGGAAATGCGGGGGAGACACCAACGCGTTTATTATCATCTTAATTCTTAATACTTGAAATGAGAATAAAACCACCATTTGTGTTACAGAAAACGAAAGTTATGTCATTATTACGATTGCTTGATTTCTTATAAACCTTTGTGTGTAGGTTTTACTGATTATACTGGATATTTTGTTTATTAGTTGATAATTTATTGTTCATCTTAAGGTTATTAGACAACGTTAAATTTCGGTCAAGTCATAAGTTTTGTGAAAATTTCGGGATCACTCTATTTTAAATCCGTATATTATTGACATTTAAAACATTTTTGTGACGTCATCTTTTGTTAAACCGGGTTCAAGAAATTTGTTATTGTCCTGCACCCCGTCCAATAAGTAACCTGTAGGTGTCCAATAAGATTCAACTTATTGGACAGGTACATGTAACGTTAAAATGAGAACAAAGAGCGAGGCAAATAAGTAAACAGCACTTAAAAGGCAATGACAAATCAAACAATTTAATATGAACAATGTAGGAAATAAGTAGCGTTAAATGTTAATATTTCACAAAAAATCCTATTGAAAATGGCACAAAAAATCCAGTGAATTGAATGTCTCAGATTCATTATTGTAGACGCATCCGTGGCTCCGATCATAAATTTCCTAAATTCACCGTTCATTACTATATAATAGATTCATTTCACAATGCTTGATTCACGGAACATAATATAGAATCCAATGGACACAAAGGATGAATGAGTAGAATGTGTTTTCTTACACACAACCTTTGGTTTTTTGTTTTTTGAAATATCCATTTTTCCGCATTTAGCACAAAATTTCGCTCACGAAATTCCAACAGAATCTGTAATTTCTTTCAGTGATTTATTACCATTTGTCCACCTAGTCCTGCGTCGTTTGAGCGAGTGTCTGTCGTTGTTTTAAAGAGTGGCTGGGGTAAAATCCTTCCGAGTTCGAAACCTCGAAAAGAGAAAGTGTTGCATTTAAAAAAAATACATCAGAAATAATCTTCCAATTTCAAAGAAAATGCTTAAACAGTTGTAGAAGTAAAATCCTTCAAATCCTATTGCTTTACAAAAATTACCTGTTAACGGGAAACTCCGAAACATAAGAATATGTATCCGGATTTCATAGTAAAAACTTGAACTGAGGCATCTTGGTGAAATCGATAAATGGCATCGTCAAAACACCCGATTCTGAAGGTATTTTTTCAAAATCAAAACGTACGTCGTTATCCGTGGTCGTTGCGTTGTAAAATGAATAAATTGTAAAGAATTTAGTAAACTGACTTTTACGCATGCGTAGTATAGATAAAAAATGTCGTAATGCGGATAAATAAGACTAAACAAAGTTAATGTTCATATTTATCGATATAAAACACCTCTCGATGATTCCTACTATTAATAAAATCAGAAGAAAAACCAAAACTGGTTTTCTTTGGCCTAACTTGATGAACAGTGCCAGGTAGTCATCCAAGCAGAACGAGACCTTACCTGTGGGTGTCCAGTAAGTTAACAATGGAAGTGTTCGACAGTGGTGAAATGTTTTAAGTAAGTTATAAGTCTCAAACTGACCATTATGTCAGATATTAGACTCTCCTCGGCGCTAACTCGCCTCGGGTCGTCTAATATCTGACATAATGGACAGTTTTCGTCTTATAACCATTACAGACTGAGGAAAAATGCATTTAGCCACTTGCTCTCCAGTAGCGTAAGAAATTGAAGAAAAATAGAACTTTCATGGACGTTGATTAAAGATGTGGCCGCCTTTTGGAGGCTCCGTTTAAGTGTTTGTCCCCCTTGACAAATTGAAAGCATTAATAAACGTTGTCGGCTGACGTACTGTTCTTGACATTGCTACTGAAATCGGAACATCATATGGAAAGATGGGGGTATTTTGAAATATGAGTGAAAAATGAAGATGATAAATTGGTGCGAGAGGATAGCCAAGCTTTTCATGAGAAAAAAATGGAGAGAAAAAAGGCAGAATTTTGTAGAATTACATGATTGAATTGGACATTTGGATGAGATGATTCTATAGCGTGACGTGACATACCTAACTTGACATAACGTCGATGTCTCCGCCTGGTTTCACAACAATCCATTTTCAGAAAGCTCGTGTGACCTTATTGGTAATTGGAACGTGGTGAAATTTTCCAGTATTGTTGCATTATAACTCTATTTTATAAATATGCCTATTGTTTGCTTTTGTCAAATCACGATAAAATTTTAGAAGGAAATTCCACGAACTTTTGGATCAACCCTCGTATGTTATATTTCCTAACATGTGATCTACCAGAATTTTCTTTGTCCTCTGATGAACACTGTTTGTACCTTTTGTAAACATTTTCTTTTTCAAAGTAGGGTTAAATACTCAAATCCTATTATTACGTACACTTTTTTCAGAGTTTATTAGTCAATTTCTATTTATTAAGTTAGAATGCGTTTTGGGAAGAGGGTGGGAGTCTTTTTCAGAGCATTCATCAAGTTCATATATGGTGGAAATATCTTAATTTTTTTCACTATGTTAAATCGATATAAATTTTTCATAAAATTAATCAATCATTTTGCCAAATTATAAGTTCTTTTTTGAATTTGAACGTAATAGATGCTGTGTGTTTTTAAATTTATTTCGGGTGTTCATTCGCGAATTTGATTGCGAAATTACCGGGAATCTAAGAACTTCGCACAATTTTTGCGCCACATTTAAATTTGAAATGATGGAGAACCCTAAGCTAGTTAACTAAACATGCACATGTTACCGGAATTTCTGCCTGACTTCAATGGGGTTATTTGTTTTGAAGATAACGAAGGTAGTTTTCAAGATACTCTACAACTATTCATTGAGATCGGGGGCTGATTCATGAGGACGTGACTCCCTTTAGATGTAAAAATAAATACCGATCATCCTGGCTATTTGGCTACAAAAAGTAATAGAATTTATGTATATCTGGTTTACATTATCAAAAAGCCATCATCATCGTCTGAGAGAGTTTTGTTCCTCATTAGACCGCTTATGTCATTGTCCCATTTACATCTGGGCTC